AGGAATGGGGCTTCCTGTTTTGTAATGCCTGGACATGCGCAGCAAAGGCTCCTTCTCCCACACCCAATTCTCCAGCATCTGTGATGGTGCCTCAACAAAATCCCTTTCCACGTGTGTCCCACTGAACATGGCAAACTCCGCCTAGGAGACGCATCCAGACAGTCAACCACATCTCCAAGTGGGGCATAACCCAACTTGAGGGCACAAAGTGGGGAAAGGTAACAAACCACGCCTCTGCCAAGCCAGCCAGACCTCACCTGAGAGCACAGCTGGTGCATGACGTGCCCAAATTCGTGGAAATAGGTCTCCACTTCATCGTGCTGCAGCAAGGAGGGTGCATCCGGTGTGGGCTTGGTGAAATTGGCCACCATGGCAGCCACCGAGATCTGCCGGCTGGAGTCTGGCAGGAGGCAGCCTGGCTGCAGGCCGAAGCAGGCTGCGTGTCCATACTTCCCTTCCCTGGGTGAGGAAGAGGAGTTTGCTGTCTGATGCTCCCAGCCACGAGCCATCAAACAGGGCACTGAGTTTTGCTCAGCAGCCCCGGCGATGCTGCAGCTCACACAAAGCCAGTACCCCCAGGACACCCCCAGCCCCCTTCTGCCACAGCCACGTGCTGGGGAGAGGGATATCTCTCCTCCTCAGGCACACAGCACTGCTCCCACTGCCCCTCATCCCTCAATCTGATTTGCCCCGAGCCTCACCGTGGGTACAGATCCAGGTAGAACTTGCCGATGGTCTCCCCGGAGGAGGTGTCCTTCACCGTGTAGAGCTGGACGTCCTCGTGCCACACCTGAGCCTTCTCTTCTAGATGGAAAGTGAGCCCCAGCAGCTCCTGGTAAATGGCCAGCAGGCCCGTGGTGACCACCTGCATGGGGAAGTACTCCTTCAGCAGGTTCTGGTCCACGCTGTACTTGGTTTCCTCCACCTGATTCATGTAGTAGCGCATGTCCCAGGCGTTGATGCGGTTGTCGAACTCCAAGCCTCGCTTCTCGCATTCTTTCTTTTTCAGGTCCAGGATCACTGCCCGTTCCTTCTCCCCAAGGGGTTTCAGCTTCTGGGCCAGCTCATCTGGGAAAGCACAGCAGGCAGCGCTGGTGAGAGCAGCGCTCGGCCCAGCAGTGCCCCCATTCCCCCTTCACCACACACAGCCATACCCAAGAAAGTAGCCACTGTCTTGCTGCTTTTAGCCATGTTCATCTCCAGCACAAAATCAGCATGAGTGCTGAAGCCCAGCAGACTGGCTTTCTGAGCCCGCAAGTCCACCAGCTCCTTGAGGATCAAGCAGTTCTCCTGCAATGCAAAGGCACACAGCTCAGCACGAAGCAGGTACACAAGAAAGGAAGCACGAGCTGCCCATGTCCTGACTGGCATTCGCTCCTCCTGGCCAGCACTGAGGCCACCTACCTCTTTGCACCTCGAGTTGAACATCTCCTCCACCTTCCTCCTTGTCTCAGGCACGTAGCACTTCTTCAAGAGAGGGAAATAGTGGGGGTATTTCAGGGTGACTTTCAGCTTGCCGTCCTCTGTCTTCTCCAGAGAGTTCAAGAAGTCCTCAGGGAGCCCCCCTGAGAAAAGAGCAGGCAAATGACAAAGAGCCCACATCTTTCCCCCAAAATATCAGGTCTGTGCACAGAAACAAGCTTTTGCTCCTTCTCCAGAGCAATCCCAGTGCTCACATTCCTGCAAATGGCTGGGCTGTGCTACCAGAGCACAAACACACTTCTTGCTCACACAGAAAAAAGGCAGACCGCCCTTCTTTAACTCTGTACCCGACCCACCACCACAGCATGCAGAGAACTGGCAAGCACAAGCAGTCCATACCTAGTTCCTCCCTCGAGAAGGGCAAAAAGGTGGTGTCCTCGTTCAGGTTCTTGTTGAAGTCTATGCAAAGGACGCTCAGCTTTTTCTTAATAGCTTTGATTTTCTTTAAAACAGAGAGACAAACAGGAAGAAGTCAGTCCAAAACGGGAAAGTCAAACAGCACCCCTCAACCTCCAGCCAGCAGCCTGCCTGCTGAGTCGCCCGGTGGTTTGCAGTTGGCTTTTATTCAAACACAACGCTGCAGAATTAATTGTGTGCAGGCACTGAGCTCTCAGCCTGGAACAGGCTCCCTCTGATCACACCTGGTAGGTAGCAGCCACCTCAGCAAGGTCCCAACTGCCTCCCGCAGGCTCAAGAGCTGCAGGTGTTGAAGCAGCTGCCTCCCCTGCCCTTATTTCATCTCACCTTCTCTTGTATTTTTAACCTTGATTCAGGCTCCTTCACTGAGCCGTTGGCTCGTGGTAAGAGGGAGACCCTGAGCAGCTCATCCCTCAGTCTGCCCACCTCAGCCTCAGCCTCCCCTCCCTACGACCCCACAAGGCCTCCTCTGCAATTCTATGCTCTCACCTCCTGCGTCTCCTCAGGCAGATGGAGGCCGTTTCTTTTGCCCAATTTGATCAGCCTCTCCAGGTACCTCTTTGCTTCAGGCTTCAGCGAGGCACTCTCTGCTTTCTCCTGTATAAAACAAAGCCCATGAGCGCAGGGAGCCAAGGGATCAGGCATCCTCACACGCTGCTGCAGGAAGTTGGTCCTGAGACCTGTTGGCAATTGTAACACTTGTGACACAGAAGAATTACCCAGGCCTTTTTCCACAAGGGAGGCAAGCATACCAACGCTTTTTATTTTTATCTTTTTAACCACAAGGATAACCAAGGCCCTGGGTTTGTGTCACAGCCCTCAAAGTTCAATGCCTCAGGTCACTCTAGCACCTAGACCACACAACTACTCAGCTCCAGACCCAGCATCACTTGCTTCTAAGGCCTGGGACAAGGGAAGAAAGTTTGCTGTCGTTCCAGGAAGTTTCAGTTCCCCACTCAGAGGCACACACCTGGAGCCAGACAATCCTCTGGTACACATCCTGCCTCATGCTCATCTCCACATCGAACTCTGAGAGCTTCTTGTCAGCTTCAGTGCTTGCTGCACGGATGTCTTTGCAAGGAGAGACGTGCTGGGGGAAGTCCAGCATGTTCCGACGGACTGCAAAGACAGCAGAGAGGTCACAAAAAAGGCAACAGCTTCGTGTCCCAGAGCTGCTCAGGAGCAGGAGTGCAGACAGCAAGTCTGTGTGAACTGGGAGCCAGTCTGACAGCCCTGGAGCCTGACCCAGCTGCCCACACACAGGGAGAGCAAGGCAAGCTGCTGCCTTCAGACAAATCTGGAGTGACCCCATGCTCGCTGCCACGCCTGCTAACCAGATCTGTCCACTGATTTCTCCCTACGCTCAGGCCTTCTCACAAAACTTGCATGAATTTCCCAACTATTTTGCCAGGCTTAGCTGGTAGCAACAGATGACAGCTGGCAGACATGCAGGCAGCATGGCTGCATGCCTCCTTCCACAATGGAACCAGGCCATCAGTGACACACCTTTGTTGCAGATGCTTCTCGAATGCTGCAATGCCCCAGGTGTGCTCTCACCTGACTCATCTCCATTTTAGAAATGAATGTACAGAAAACATTCCCTGCTACCACCAGGTAACACCACGCCATCACATCACGTTACTCTGCAGAACCCCCAAAATGACAGCAATGTTCAAACAGACACACACAGATATCCATCCACTGCCCTGGAGAAGAAACCAAAAATGACAACGACCTAAAGATTCCTGAGACTTCTGTCAATGCACCCTTTGTTCCCACTGATGCATCTTGACATATAAAATCAGCAGGCAACCTTGAAAACGAGCTGCTCCTCCCGCAGACCTTCCCGCTGCCCAAACACTATTCTCATTTTAGACTCAGGTTTCCGTTCCAAGTCTACTCTTTGCTTTGTACTTGTACCTGGCTGTGTAAACATTAACTAGAAAAGCACACACATCACAGAGCGGGTCAAGGGAAGGCAAAAGGAGATGACAGAACCAAAAAAAGGTGCAAAAAACACACATATTAAGATGCAGACTTCCTGACAGCGAGCGCTCCCACTTCACACGCATACCTGTATATTCCACTTCCACATCCGCCAGCGCTTTCAGGGTGTTCTCATAGGACACCTCTCCCTGCTCCTGGGAGCCCACACGGTCGTACACCAGCTTGGTCCTCTCGGTGAGCTCAGCAGCCATGCGTTCGATCTGCTCAGCACTCAGATCCCAGCGCAGCTGGTTGGCTGGCGGGCAGGGGGACTGACTGTCCACCACGTTACCTGGGGGAACGGGAAGGAAACCATACGTGAGCCGGGAGGAAAATTCAGCTGCACATCCCGAGCTCGGTAAGAACACCCCATAGGGGCCCTGCACACAGGTTGGCACGGAGGGCAAAACAGTGAGTGCAGGGGGCTGGAACACCGTGCCCTCAATCAAAGGGGCTGTCCAAGGGCGGGGGTCCCCTCGGGCCCTATGGGGCTGCTCTGTCTCCCCTCCTCCCCGCGGGCCGTGCCCTGTGCCCCCAGCCCCCGGGTCTCGCCCCCTCCCAAGGCTTCCTCCTCCACCCTCCGTCTTCCCCCCACTGCTCGCAGCAGTCCTGCCCCCCACGAGCCGCTACCTGTAGGAGGAGCCATGCCGGCCGGCCGGGGGGCCCCGCTGCTGCTGACGAGGCCGCGAGGAAACCGCGCCGGCCCCGCGCACCGAGCATGTGCCTGAGCAGCGAGACGGGCGGCCAGAGCGGCCGCGCTGAGGGATTGTGGGAGAGGGGAGGACCGGGCCGCTCTCTAAGTCCCTTCAGCCCAGCCCGGTGCAGCAGGAGCGGCCCGATCACCATCCCCGCCACGCCCACGGCCCTGAGCGCCATCGCACCGCCGGCAGCGGAGCAACCGGCCCGGCTGGGCCGCCCGCCCGTTCCTATAGCGACACACCCCCGATCGTCTCTATGGTTAACGAGGAGGAGCCGCAGCCGCGCTTCCGGCCTCCAGCCGTCACCAAAGAGGGCACGCAATGCGCATGCGCCAATCTCTCCGCCCCTCCCCGTAGCTCTGTCATGGCGGATGAGGGCGGAGCCTCACTGCTGCGCACGCGTTTTGAACGCTCCACGCGACGCGCATGCGCAGTATCATCTCGATAGCACGCGTGCGCGTGGGGTGGGAGCGGCGCATGCGCAGTGCCGCGCCCGCCCTGGCCGTGGGGAGCGTCGCGGTGCCCGGTGAGCGGGGCGGGGCGGAGCGGCGGCGGCGGGGCGGGGGACGACGGCTGCGGGAAGCCGGGCTACGCTGCACCGCGCTGCTGGGCGACCGAGGCCTGGCTCCGGGCCGGGCGGTTTCATCTCGTTCTGGGGTCTGACGTGGGCCGTGCCGTGTCCCGGGGCCTGCGCTGGGGATCCAGAGCTGTGCGGGTCTCGAGCTGAGGGCACGTTGGGTCGGCGTGGCTCGGGGCCGCACGCTCGTAGCCACTACAGACGGACAGACAGACGGACACACCGCTGCTGGGCCGGCCCAGAAGCCCCAGGGGCCTGACAGAGAGCCGGGCCGGGCAGCGGGGGGGTTTCCTTTAGCAGAGGTTGCATTTAAACAGTTGGGTTCTCAATTCACGAGCCCTGCGCGGCTTTCTGCGCTCCCGTCTCCGTGCTGGGAGCTGCGTTGGTTCCCTGCAGGGCAAACGAGGCCGTTTGTGTCTTGCGGGTCTGCGTGGGGATCCGTGCAGAGCTCCAGGCTCTGCTCACCGTTTCCCCGTGCTGCCCCCTTGTCTTTGTCTCACACCCGCGTTGGCTCAGGAAGAGGAGAGCTGCGGTGTTCTTAGTGCTGATCTCCTCGGGGCTGAGTCTTTTTGATTCATTTCTGGGGGCTGTGTGTCCCTAAAGCCTTTCGTGTGGTTCCCTTGGCAGTGGTGTGTGGGGCAGGGCGGAGGGGAATTGAGGGCTGGGAGGTCAGCTGAGTATTTGTAGAGTAAAGGGATTAATGAAGGCTCTGAAGGCCTTGCTCCATCCTGAAGGATTCCCTCATCCCTTTCATATAGGGAGAGAACAGCAGAAGAGACCTTTGACTTCCAGCCCTTCAGGCCATGTAACTTCTTTCTCTACAGATACTATAATATATTTTTTTTAAGTTAGAAGAAATCCAAACATCACAGCCTCCCACGATGGCAGACCAGAAGCGCCTTGCGTACTCCATCATCCAGTTCTTACATGACCAGCTACAGAACGGGGGTCTTTCTCCAGATGCTCAGGAGAGTTTGGAAGGTAGGTGGCCATTCTCTGCTATGTGTGTGGATCTGTCAGCCCAGCTCATGGAGCAATTTGGACGTTTGGTTGCCGTCCTCTGCCTCATAACTTGCCTGGGCTGTTTCTAACATCCAAGATTTGAATGAGTTTTTCTTCTTAGGCAGATAGCAGGCAATTAGAGATGCTGATTGCTTATCTGATTTCTTGCTCCCTCGTTCAAAACTAGATTAGCTTGAGGAACGGATATGCCTGGGATCAAAAGCCTCCCTGACCCTGGGTTTGAGATTTAAAACTTTTTATCTCCAATGAGGTTGAGTGGAGGGTTTGGTAGCAGCGCAGAACAAGAACTCTGTGGCAGTACGGAAATGATTCATATTGCAGAAGTGCTTTTCCAGGTCTGCTCTCTGCTTTTCCACATCACACCGTGAAGCATTCAGACAGGCTTTTTCAGGGGGCTTCCCTGTCACGAGAGCACGCTGATCTTAGAAGATCTGCCTAAGGAGCTTAAGCCTTAGTGTTTGGCCTGTGTGGTGGAAGAGGGAGCACAGGAACGCCTGCAGAGCGTGGTGCTTGGTTGCTTGTTTCTTGTGTTTCCTCAAACATGCTGCTACCTCTTGGCTCTGAGCTTTGGGAGTGCTAATAAAGCCCTTGTTCTGTTAACATCCACCTGCTCTGAAGTTACCTGAGGGGATGGGAATTGTCAGTGATGCTTCCTGGGAGCTGCTTTGCCCAGCTCTGAGGGTTTGGTAAAATATGCTGGGGTGTTTTTCTGGCGTGTTCAACTGTAAGAAATTCGGGTGTTGTGGAAGAGAGCTAAGTAATTAGAATGGGGAGAGCTAACGACCTGATTCGTTACGCCCAGTGGCAATCCAGTGCCTGGAGACAGCTTTTGGAGTCTCCCTGGAAGACCAAGGCCTCGCTGTGTCACAAACTCTCCCTGAAATATTTGAAGCTGCTGCAGGAAAGGTGAGCAAATTCCCTAAATATGTGCTGAGTTTCGATGTGAGCAGCCAAAGCAATGAGCTTTGCTTGGTTTCTGCCCCCCTGGAGGCGTGTGGGAGTGAAATGTTTTGGGCTCGACGTGCTTGGGAAGGGGGAGGTGTGGAACTTTTCTGTGGGAGTCCTGATCTCAGCACAGCCTTCTCCCTTTCCTTGTAAGGAGCCTGAACACATGAGAGCAAACTCGGAGCCAGTCACCCCCTCTGAAGATGACGTAGCTGAAGCTGAAAGGCTCAAGACCGAAGGTAGCTTCCCCTGGAGCTGGGGTTTGATGAGGTTTAAGTGATGTTGGGGTGGAAGGCTTAGCTCACTCAGCACCTGGGGAGCACATGGGTGGGATCAGCCCTTTGTTTCTGCTTGTTCCTCTGCTCGTGTGGAGGTTGGTGTTATTTAGCTGCCACAGAACCTACGTAGACAGCTGGCTCAGCGTTTTCTTTTGCATTCTGAAGGCCCGTGCTGTGTAAATGTGGCATCTTTCCTGCTGGGCTCTCCTCTGTGTGCTGCCTTTTCTCTGCCATGCAAGACAGCGTGAGCAGTGCTGACGTACAGCAGGGAGCTTTCAGTAAGCCAGCGCACTGCGTTGATGTCCAGAGCACAGAGTGACTCTGGGGAGGCCTCTGCTGTGTCAGAGATGGGAAAGCAGCTGAGGGGGCTCGCAGGATCCCGTCTGAAAGGCTGACAAGTAACCTGAAACTGCCAAGATAAGGATCTCTTGCTGCACTGCTGAACTTGCCTCACGCTTGCACGCAGTTTGACAGATCAGCAAGAGATGCAAGCTCTTGGCTTCTCTTTTGTTCTGTTTTCTTATGAAGAGCAGAGATCCGGGCTCGTTGCTTTTGTTTGCCTGCATTTTTAACTTAATCAGCCTTTTCTCCATTTCTTTAGGGAATGAACAGATGAAGGCAGAGAACTTTGAAGCTGCTGTGTCCTTCTACGGAAAAGCAATTGAGTTAAATCCATCCAACGCTGTGTATTTTTGCAACAGGTACTGGTTGTCTCTGGCCTTGCACACCTGTGGTTTTGGCCCTTATTTCTTACACCTCAAGCTCCTGCTCGCTCAAAATCCCCTTTCCAAAGTTCTGTAGGCTGCTTGTTCTGTTGCTGCTTGTGGTGGTTTTGCTTCTGGTTTTCCCTTAGCTCGGTGACACGCTCTCCTGTGCCTCTGGCCAGCTCTGTGCCCTGGCATCACTCAGTAGGTGTGGAAACAAACCCTTTGGCATTTTAAGGGAGATAAGGGTACCAAGGAACGCTGTCTGCTTTCATGCAATTAACTCCTTCAGTTAAACAAGGGCTGGGATTTGAGAGGCAAAAACAAAGGAGTGCAGTGAGACCAGCTGAAGGCTTGCTGTCAGCAAGTGGAGAGCACAGGAAAACGGGAGCAGCAGTCCTTGTGACTGAGATATGGGGGTGAAGGAGAGATGAGGCTGAGCCAGCGATGGGATCCTTTCCTGCTTCCTTCCTCTTGGAATGTCTGTAAGGAGGGGGGAGAGCTCAGGTTTGTTTGCAGCAGGAGCAGAATGTGAGGCTGAGGGTTTGGATAGCAAGCTGCTCACGTAGGAGCGGTCTGGATTTGTGTCAAGTTCACACTTTGACTTTCCCTTTAGAACAGGAGGCTGCAGAGAGGGAGCAGAGGTGACCTTGATCAGCATGTTCAAGCTGATAAGTGGTTTTGCACATCTTTCTTCTTCTCTCCAGAGCTGCTGCATACAGTAAATTAGGAAATTATGCTGGAGCAGTCAGAGACTGTGAAAGAGCAATCGGCATCGATCCAAACTACAGCAAAGCTTACGGCAGAATGGGGTAAGTGAGAGAAGGGGGTTTTGTGCCAGAACTTCAGTCTCCGAGTGCTTGGTGGTAATCACACCATCAGCAGGGTTCTGCCCTGCAGTGCCATGTAAAAATACCTGGTGTTTCACCTCTGCTGGAGTGGAGGAAGGCTGCGAGTCCTTATCTCCCTCTGTAACTTTCTTTTATTTCCACTTCAACAGCTTGGCTCTCTCCAGTTTAAATAAACACACAGAAGCTGTTGTCTACTACAAAAAAGCCCTGGAGCTTGATCCAGACAACGACACCTACAAATCCAACCTTAAAATAGCTGAACAGAAAATGAAAGAGACTCCTAGTCCGGTAAGTTCTGAAAGCAACACTGAAGCGGAGATGAGATGAAATGGAGGCTTCTTTCCTGCAGGTGCTTGGTTGTGTTTAGAATTCAGATCTTGCATGCAGATGGAGGGGAGATGGTTAACAAGTGCTGCTGCTGTGAACCCTTCCTCTAAAACCCAGAGAGAGCGATTTCAGCGCTCTGCAGGAGCGCAGTCGCCTCGGGCTGGGAAGCGAGGCTGAGCAGAAGGAGCTGTGAGAGTGTTTTGAAGGGGATTTGGGTTTTCTAGAGGCTTCTGTAGCACAGAGGTGAGCAGGTGGGGGTGTTTGAGTGGCGGGTTGCTGGTTTGGGGCAGTGCACGGCTGGCAGGGCTGGGCGAGAGCTGCTCAGCGATGCATTGCGGTGCCATCGTCGCTATCAGCATTCGCCCTTTGCCTTCCTGAGCAGCTCGTCCCCATCCTGCCCTTTGTCATGCTTTAAAGACCAGGTGCTGATAACGCTGGGAGGATTGAAGTATCATTCATTGCTGTTTGTTGCATCAGGAAGCGAGAGGATGTCAGCACCCACGTGCTGTGTCTTTATCGTTGCAGACCGGAGGTCCTGGAGGATTCGATTTAGCTGGCTTGCTGAACAACCCTGGCTTCATGAGTATGGTAAATGTGGGCCCAGGTCGCAGCCAGGCTGTGCGTTTATCCTTTCAGGGTGAAATGTTTCAGGACGTGGGGATTTTTGGTGTCTCGTGAGCAGCTCGGTTGTCATTGCTTTGTTTCGGTGCCGCCGTGAGGAAGCTGTGCTTGTATTTTTCACCCGAGTCAAATGAAGAGCCAGTGATTTATTGACAGGCTGCTCTTTGGGACGTGCTGGGTGTGGAAAGGGTGCCTGTTCTGCGTTACCAGCCTTGTCCTGTGTGTTGCACTGTGCTTCTCTTTGCTATTTTTGTCCTATTGATCTGCTTCCAAGTATTTCTGCCTTCGCTTTGTTCGTAGTTGAATGGCACAACATCTGCATATCTACCCAGGCATTTCTGACTAAATAGGGTGTCCTTTTTTTTTCCCCTCTTTAAATAGGCATCTAACCTAATGAACAATCCACAAGTACAACAGCTGTAAGTTTGATCCCATGTTCTCTTTCCTCTTTGAGTCGCTCCTTTGAGGCTGTGGTGGGAGGGGGTGGGTGCTGGAACCAGGAATGTGGAAGGCAGCCCTTAAAGCAGCCCCATCTCCTGAGCCACGGTGTGTTTTGAGTGCTCTGGACCGTGCTGAAGAGGGGCTTCAATAGGAGGCAGGATAGATTGTGGCACTGGAGCTGCCTTTGGGAAGCTGGGGACAGTTTGGCTCTGCTGCGCCGTGTCTGTGTGATGTGGAGACAAGATTTCACATCTCACTCTCTGTTAGAAAGAATATTTTTGATTCTTTGCACTGCAGAGTTATGAGGATCGATTCACAACAGCTGCCAGATGCTTAGACAGGGTAAGGCCACGGAGCACATAAAGCACGTACCTCTGCAGTCTGTCCCTTCAGAGCTCAGGCAGGCAGTGAGCTGGAGCCCTTCTGGAGCTCATCCTCTGCTTACTGTATGAAGCAGCCCAGCTGCAGGGCTGAACATCTGCCTCCATGTCCATTTGCTTCTGCCTGCTCCTCGCACTTCTGTTGTCAGCTGAGGCTCTGTGCCAGGTGCAGCCTGAGGACTTGGAGGGGAAGGGGCTTTGCAGACCCAATGCATTCAGTGCTGATAACCAAGAATCCTGTCAGTAAATCTCATTGGTGCAGAGCTGTCAAATACCTGGTGTGAGGAGGGGCAGTGTTGTAATTGAGCATAACACCAAGCTTGCACACGGAGGGAGCAACATTCGTCAGTACAGAAACTGAAGCTGTTATAAATATTTCTACAGATGGTGCAGCTTAAGGATACAATTGCTCTTCTTTTCCCCTCCTAGTGTAAAACAAAACAGATTTTGGTGTGTTTTTCTGCTCTGAGCAATGACTCTTCTTTCCACAGCATGTCTGGGATGATTTCTGGTGGCCATAACCCCATGGGAGCAGCAGGCACCAGCCCCTCCACCAATGATCTTGCCAGCCTCATACAAGCGTGAGTAGGGAGCTGGTTCTTCTCCATGGCCTTAATCTGCAAATAGACTTCAGATTTTCTGACCAAAAGTGAAAACTTCAGTCGAGGGTTGAGTAAAGTTGCACTGTAACGTGAACTTGTTAGAGCAGAGCTCTGGCAATCACCTGGGAAGGACTGCATTGCACTGGTCGTGTCAGTGTGTGAGAACACAGTAACAGCAGCTTGTTCTCCTGCAGGGGCCAGCAGTTTGCTCAGCAGATGCAGCAGCAGAATCCTGAATTAATAGAGCAGCTACGAAGCCAGATCAGGAGTCGAACTCCAAGTGCCAGCAATGAAGATCAGCAGGAATGAGGCTGACAGGTGAGGCCGTGGCCAGCGGAGAGGGGAGCATTTCGGTGTCCTGCTGCAATGTCTGCCTTGTGCCTTCACCAAGCAGCTCAGGTCTCCTCCCCTCTGTGCAGACTGAGCTCTCTGGTGCTGTGCAGAGATGCAAGGCTCAGCTCTACAGAGCGGTGAACAAATTCCCTCACGCTTTGCGGCTGGCGAATGAGTTTCCTTATGTGACGTTGGCACTTGTGAAAAGGATGCTGTCTTTTCTCAGAAACTGAATTTGCAAATGTCTTTGTCTTCCTGTCTCTGCAGCGCAGTCCGTGGGAACTCTGTTCATTGCTTTAAGAACTGGAAGCCATGTGCGTGTTGCCATTTCTTGAATTGGAAGTGTCCAAGAGGGGGGAAAAAAAAAAAGAGAGGATAAAAAAACAAACCCCAAATACTTTATACGACCTGCATGTTAAAGACAGATTCACACTTTCTTTCCCCGGTCTTCGTCCTGCTCCTCCCCCTCCACCTTTCCATTAGTTTCCCTCTGGAAGATCCAGCAAACACAAACCAGCACCAACAGTCTTTCTAAAGAAACTCCGAAATGAACGACGCTGTTACATTTCTATGTTCTTTGCTACGTGGGAATTTTTTAACCCGTTTTTGAAGAAGGATGCACTCTTCACTACAGGATTTCTTCACTTTCCTGCCCACACGCCACTTCAGAGAAGTGTTGGAGTCCCACCCCCGCCCCGATGCCCTTTAATCTTCTTGCCAGTTACAAGACGGTGATGTTTGAGCGCCCTGGAGATCGCTGGATCTTCGTGCCTCCAGGATCAGGGTTTCTGTTGATTAGATTCACCATGTTTCTCATTCAGGTCTGTAGCAACGTTGCCGGTGTTGTTAATACAAAGGATTTGGTGACTGCCTCTCTAAGGTTAGTGTCGATGTGTCGGGGGGCTGGGACTGATCAGGTAGAACATGCTCATCTGTGACTCCTTTAGGGCGTTTCCAGATACGCTGCTTGGGCTCCATCCCCAGTCCTGACAAAACTCGTCTAGTGTTTAGTAATTATTGTTGGAATGAGCCAATCTGTGAACTAGTCAGGTGGACAGTGAGAAAGATACGATGTTTTTGGTGTTTAAAAGGTTTCTCTTTGTTTTTTAATTTGTCTTTTATGCATGTAAGTAATCAACCCAGTTGACCGTACTGATAATAGGAGTAGAGAGGGGGCTTGAGCAGCAGGCAGAAGGAATAAAAATGCTCCTTGGATAGAAAGGTATTGAGGGGCTGCTGGTTCAATGTGGGAGGAGGGAGAAGGTCCTTGCTGCTGGGTGCCTGCAGCTTCCCACCTGCCTGTGTCATTCCTGGGTGCATGGGAAGCTCTGGCAAGTTCCCCTTGAAGTCGCTGGACGAGGATGGAGACTTTGGTATCGGCCTCGGGACTGGTTTTAAGGTAGTTCCTCCATGGTGGTGGGAAAGGCGTGTTCCTGGCCCTATGGCTGGGCACAGAAGCAGCTGGCTTGGAGAGGAGTGCGTGGGAGATGGAAAATGCCCATCTAGGAGACATGGTGGTACGAATGAGCAGGTATCTTTGAAGATTAATATCAAGGAAAAAAGATCTGTAAATGCTCCATAAATTTATATGTGCTTAATGTAACTTGTGAAGAATAAACGATTTGGACACTCTTTGCTATCCCTCTCAGCGCAGTGACTGCAGCGATACCCGGGGCCGCCTCTCTCCGTTTTGTTCTGTGCGCTGCCGGACCCCGTCAGCACCGCCGTGCGGACAGCGCTGCCCCGTGCGCTGCCCGGAACCTTCCGTTGCGCCGCGCGTTTCCGGCGGACGCCATTCGGCGGTACCCGCCCGTTGGGCGTGGCGGGCTGACTGACGGCCGCCGCGGCCAATGGGAAGTCGTCCTTTTCACCGCAGCCAATAGGAGAGCGCTTCACCAGAGCGGGGGTGGGGGCCGTGCGGGGGCAGCCAGGACGGGGCGCAGGCGGGGGACGGCGCGTGAGTGGGGGGCGTTGGGGCGGGGAGTTTGGGCTGTGAGGTAACGGGAGCCGGGGGCCGTTCCTGAAGGGGTCGGGAGGAGGGAGGCGGGGATCCGGTCCTGAAGGGGAGCTGGGACGATCGGAGGGGTTCGCTATTGAGGTAGCAAGGAGTTGGGGGCTGTTACTGGGGGAACTGGGGTTGGAGGGGGAGGGTGTTACTGAAGTAACTGGGGTGGGGCAGGGGCTGTGGTGGGATGTGGGGCCTGGGCGGGGCTCGAGGGCTGTGGGGCTGCCCTACAGCGGGGGGGGGGCCTCGGGCTGTGGCCCTGTGCACAGGGCCGTTGGGGATCTCATCCCCCTCCCCGGTGCTGTCCCTGCAGACCCCACCTCGTGCCCACGGTCTGGGAGGAGCCCCCAGCACGGCCCCTTCCCCCTGGGCTCCCTGTGTGCTCTCAGCAGGCATCGGGGGGCGTCCAGAGGGAGGTTGGGGGCCCGGCCTGCTTCCCACACCCCAGCAGCGTCAGGGCACAGATCTGGGACATTAAACTTCACACTGTCTGTTCATTGCACTTTCTATTGCCCAAATATTTTGACGGTAAGCCACGCGGTAATTATCCCACATTCATTCTTTGTTACAGAGGTTTCTGGGCTGCCAATACATCCAGGAGTCAGAGGAGCCGACCGCTGCGTGCTGGGAGGAGTGGGCTGAGAAGAGCACGAGGTATTTCCAGCTTTCATTGCTCCGTTTGTCACTAAGCTGCTTTCCTCAGAGGTCACAGAGGGCCGTTCCACTGCTGCCAGCAGCTCGAGGCACTTTGCTGGGGCCAGGTTAGACACCAGCAGAAGCAGTTTTCTGGGATTGAGCGGAGGCCAGGCTGACTCCAGAAGAGGTGCAGGTGCTGGAACACTCAGTGCTGTTTGCTTGCTCTCCTGGGAGCTGCCTGCACACCTGACATAACAGTTGAGATGCAACCTTCACACCCAGCAAGCAGAGCCATGAGCTCTTCTCTGTGCGATCCCAATGCGTTGTCGCTAACATAAGATGTGGTGTGACGACTTGCCATCACCGTGCAAGGTGACACCCTTGTTCTGTTGATGCTCAAACTGCAGTGTGTGCATTACAAAGGCAGTGTGGCTTGTTAGCTGTGTCAGCAATGTGCTGGCAGGCACTGGCAGGCCCAGGGGCAGCATCTCTGCCCATCAGCAGCAGTGACAGCCGCAGCCCGCCTGTCAGCGTGTGCCCAGCTCTGCCCTTGTTCAGGCCCAGTGTGAGTCCATCAGTGTCATCTGAGCTGTGCTGCTGCTGATGGACATCAATGAGACACCAACTGAGAGCCAGCCCTGCTGCAGATGGACGGACTGCTGTGACCTCTGTTTGCTCCTGGGTAGGCTGAGCTCGAACTTGAAAAGAGGGTTTTAAGCTCCCCCATCACGCACAGCATCCATCAACCCCAAAATACCTGGTAACACAATCACCATCTATGCAGCCTGCTGCACAGGAGGGGTTGTAGTGATTCATCCTGTCAACCCTCTAGGGAAATTTTCCCTCAGGAATCTTTTGTTTTGAAATGAATTTGATGGTCCAATGGGCAGCTATCCAATTATTTACCTCGTCCAGCACTGGTGCGAGGGTGTGTGTGAGCACAGCTCAGTTTGGGGCTGCTGATCTGATGCCAGCAGGGGTACAGTGCTGCCTGTGCTCATCAGCAGAGCGGAGCAGTCAGCAGAGGCACCTGTTCATGTTACATAAATAGATTCCATTTTGTCACTTTCCTAAAATCATTTTAAATGGGTTTTGCTGCGCGTGATCTGGAGGCAAACCCGTTTCAGATGGAGTCAGTTTCAGGACCCAGGCTACTACTCAGATGTTGCATTTCTCTCTGGTGTAAAACCACCACCTGGTTTGCCTCATTTGTTACACCCTGTGAACAGTAGGGGACCTCACAGTGCATTTCTGCATGGGGTTTTCCTTGAGAGAGGTGCCAACGGATCAGAGCCACAAGCAGCCAGGCAGCACCGACAGGGACAGCAGAAGGGGCTGAGGAAACTGAATCTGCTGGTCTGGTTTTGAGGACAGTGCAAAAAAAAAAAAAACAACCCCAAACCCTGCATGAGTGCTGGAAGGGGATCTTTAATTTCATTCCTGAACGAAGCTTGAAGGCTGTCAGCTCAAGCCCTTACTCATTTCTCGTGGTTAAAACCAATGTCTTGACCCTTTGGACTCAGGTGGGTCTTACTGCGAGATCGACTGGTTTAAAACCTCCACCAGCTGAGGCTGTGCCAATTTCATGCAGCCAATGCAGCTCTTGCAAGGTTTCGGAGTTCCTGTTTGCTGCAGTTCAGTTGTGTGAGAGCTCTGTGCCTCTCTGTGATCTCCCCACTCATCGCCTAGCAGAGTGAAGGCAGAGTTCGGGTCCTTCCTGCACAGGGGCTGGCACACAGCCGGGGTGCAAGGTGCTCTTCTGCATGCTGAATACACAGCAAAACTCTCCTCTCCTGTCCACAGCTACCAGCTCCAGGAGCTCCTTTCCCTGCACTTTGCCCGCGCTCTCTCTCCTGCTGATGCACCCGCTGCTCTGAGAGCTGCTGCAGGGCAGCACCATGAAGATCGTGGCAGCCAAAGTGCTGTGTCTGCTGGGCATCTGTGTCCTCATGCTGGCCGGGTCCCTCCTCCCCGTCAAGATCATCGAGGCTGATCACGAGAAGGCTCACCGCTCCAGGAAGCTCATCACCCTCTGCAATTCTTTTGGAGGAGGGGTCTTCCTGGCCACCTGCTTCAACGCTCTGCTGCCCGCCGTGAGAGGAAAGGTAACGGGGTGCCTGAGCCCCACGGGGAGCTCAGCTCAATTCCCTGTGGAATTGGAGGCGTGAGGGCTGTCTGTAACCACAGAGCCCCCTCCTCCCGTTCGGATACTGTTTGGTTGGAAAGCTAGGCTTGTTTGGTGCAGGAGGAGGCTGAGCATCGCCTGGGGCTTTAGGCTCAAACTCCTGACTCCAGGCCTGCGTTTAAACCATCAGTGGTCAGATGGCCACTGAGCTCTGTGTGAGGCTGACAGGTTCCCTGTCTCACCCCGAGGTCTGGATGCGAGGGCGTTCAAGCATCCTGGATCAGTTTAATCTCCCCCTGGAGCTGTGTGAACGCAACAGGAATATTTCACTGTTACAGAGCCAAGCTTCCCCCTCCCCCCCCCCCCCCGTGTTGCCTGTTGGAGACTTTCCTCCCAAAAGGAATTTTGTAGGAAGCCCTGAGAGCCTCCTGGTGATGCTCTGTGTGCCTATAGAGGGCGAAAAGCAGCTGACACAGGGCTGTGTGCTTTGTTCCAGCTCGATGAAGTCCTTAAGCAGGGCAACGTGACCACAGACTACCCGGTGGCCGAGACCATCATGATGCTTGGCTTCTTCATGACGGTGTTTGTGGAGCAGCTCGTTTTGACCTTCCAAAAGGAAAAGCCTTCATTTATTGACTTAGAAACCTTCAACGCCGGTTCGGACGCCGGGAGCGACTCCGAATACGAGAGTCCCTTCATTGCGGCCTCACGGGGCAGCGCTGAGCACGGCCGGCTCTCCCACAGCCACGGTTTGAACGTCCTCCAGCTGTCCCGCTCCAGCCCCCTGCGCCTGGTCAGCCTGGTGTTCGCTTTGTGCACTCACTCCATCTTTGAGGGCTTGGCCCTGGGCCTGCAGGAGGAGGGAAGCAGAGTGCTGAGCTTGTTCCTGGGCGTTGCCATCCACGAGACGCTGGTGGCCGTGGCTTTGGGCATCAGCATGGCCAAGGCCTCGCTGCCCATGAAGGACGCTGCCAAGCTGGCGGTGACGGTGAGCCTGATGATCCCTCTGGGCATCAGCATTGGGATGGGGATCGAGAGCACCCAGAGCACGGCGGGCAGCATCACTTCTCTGCTCCTGCAAGGCGTCGCTGGGGGCACTTTCTTGTTCATCACCTTCTTTGAGATCCTGGCGAAGGAGCTGGAAGACAAGAGCGGTCGTCTGTTGAAGGTCCTCTTCCTGGTGCTGGGTTACGCGGTGCTGGCTGGGCTGGTTTTCCTCAAGTGGTGAGGAGGGAAACGAAGCTCACCTCCTCCCCACACAGCCATCCCCACCACCCAGGGGATACCAGAGCTCAGCAGCAAAGCCAGACATCACAGCCTGCTGGTATTGCAGTACTGACCCCAAGGAGAACGTCTGCGTGCTCAGAGGGAATGAAGAACAACGCAGCGCCCCAATGCAGGTGCCCCAAGGTCCTGTCGCTGCCTGCTGGATCTGCAGGTGCAGCAGCTCGTGCTGGACACAAACGCTGCAGTTCTGAGGCCGTGTCCCAGGAGCTCAGCACGCATCTCATTCCCTGTTGGTCCGCAGGGCCACCCCCCTCCTCCCCGCTCCCCCTGCACTGCATTTGGCTGCAGGGTTCTTCCCTGCTGCTCGGGCTCTGAGAAGGCGAGGAGCTGCGACAGAAGCGCAGGCAGAGGCAGGTGTGAGCGCGGATGGCACAGCTGCACTAAGCTGCTTTTGCTAGCTTAGTTTTGAGCAAAACCTGGTTGTAATAGCTGCCAAAAATAACATCCCTTCTGGGGCTGCTCGGTGCGACTGCTGCCACAGCTCCGAGCTCCATTTTGACCCACAAATGGAGCTTTTCTTAGTGATTAATGAAGAAACGAGGCTGGGCTCCGTGCCCTGCACCATTCCCCCCGCCTCAA